GACGGACATAACACTTCCAACTCAACCAGGGCCTGTGATGGCAGAGACGAAAGAAAAGAAGAATGCACCAGAGACCGGGTCGTCTGACACCCGAGTCATAGAGAAGGGAGCCACACTCGCAGAAGAATCTGACCCTAGCTTATACATTGTGGTCGTCGATCAGCCAAAGCCAATGGTCATACTATTGGACTGTCTCCGTATAAATGCTATTGGGGAGGATGAGGTAGGGTAACATCAGAACGATTGGCCTGAATGAGACCTTAATGACTTGGCCGAGTTAGAAGAAGACCTGGAAGAAATGGAAGAGGATCTAGACAACCTCCATGTCTTTGAAGAAGAGAATATATGCAGTGTACAGATTAGGTGGTAGGATCCAAGCCAACCCGAAACCAGCAATGGGTGGTTAAGTGAAGAGAAGTCAGATGTAGGGGAACATGCAAGAGAGACTGGAAAAGAAGATGGAGTTGGTGCTAGCAGCAAGGCTGAGGCTGCACCTCTAATTAAGAAATAATCGGCGTTGGAGCAGTTCTGACAGAAAAGAATAGAAGAAATCCAAAGGAAGATAGCTCTGGGGCAGGGAAAAGGAAAAGGGAAAGAAGAAACTAAGGCAACGGTATGTGATGTCCAAGCAACCAAAAAGACTGAATGGGAGCCCAGTGACATGAAAAGAATGCAAAAAAAGCTCCGGAAGTATTGGAATGTAGAAATCAAAACTGTGGTGGAAGAGGAATGGTATGATGACAGGGGGCGCGACATGAACATACTCCAGGTAGAACCTGATAATAGCCCGGCCATGGCTGCAGGGGAGTGGTGGGAAGACAGTGACCTAAGCCATGTGTACACTGACAAGAGGTGGAAAGCCGATACCCTTGATGATACGTGATATACTAACGAGATCAATCACGCAACTCGTAGTGGTCGGTATTTCAAACCAGAATCCTCCAGTAAAGAGGCTGAGAAAGCAAAAGAGAAAGACATTGAAGAAGACCTGGTTTTGAAGCAGCTCAAGAAGATCTAGGCAGACATATTAATCTGGGGGTTACTGATGGCTTCTCGGGATCAGAGACAGGAGCTGTTAAAAGCCATGAATAGCATAAAGTTGTGCATCGACACCACCATTGACCAACTGGTGTTGTTGGTCACTTCTGGGGATGTTATGCCAATGATATCCTTTACGGATAAAGAGTTCCCACCAGAGGGTGCCAACCACAATCGACCCTTGTATGTAACCCTGGAGAGTTGAAAAAAGTGGATTTCGGTGGTGTTAGTAGATACTGGATCGGCGATTAAGGTGTGTCCGGCACGGATTGCCTATGCCATAGGTTTGAGGCCCGCTGACTTCACGTCCATAACCCAAGCCATCTGAGCTTATGACAACACTAGCCGGGATGTTATGGGAACGTTCAAGAGGCACATACTAATCGGCCCGTCTGAGCATGAGGTGGAATTCCATGTCATGGACATACTAACAACTTTCGACTACTCCTGGGCAGGCTTTTGGTACACCAGATGTAGGTTGTATCATTAACGGTCCACCAGCTGGTAAAATACCCCTTCAACAGTGGGATTGCTACTATGTATGGCAATTCTGCAATTCACCCTTCCCAAGGAACTACCACACCCTTGTTGGAAATCATACATGGGGAAGAGGATATATTCCTCTACGGCTTCTCCTTGGTGGAGGCTTGGTTGGTCCAATCAATCATGGCAGAAGATGATGGAAACTACGTAAGTGCCAAGTCCATCTACATGATAAACAAACAAGGGCATATTCCTGGATTAGGACTAGGCAGGAGTGGCAGGCAGGGGGGTACAATTTCCAAAGAGATGAGTCATAACCCCCATACTTTTGGGCTGGGGTACAAACCTACCGCTAAAGACTAGAAACAGAAGGGGGATGAGTTGAGAGGAAGAATTAGAGCAAAGAGAACTGGAAGGCAGTATGAGTTAGTCCACAAGGCAATACGGGGAACCCTAAATGGACGCTTTGTCCGCCAAGAGGAAGATTTTCCATTTTGTGGATTTCTAGAGCCTTGGTTTGACCAGGAAATGAAGACCAGGTCCCCAGGGTTCAAGATCTTTTTCGGGTACCAGTTACTAGAAGAGGAGGATGAGCAGACGGACATGAACACCCACACAAATCAAAGTAGGACTGCAAGCCTGGAAATTGATGAAGAGGAGCTGTTGGGGAAAGCATTAGCTGATCTACTAAAAAGTTCTCATGCTGGGACTAAGCCTATCAACTTGGGGGATAGTTTTACTATCTCAATGATTGGGGATGCACCGGCAACAGATTTTACTAGTCTCATCATGGATGCATCTGATGCTCTATGCATGGTCTAGAAGTTTGAGAAGGGCAACATCATCAGTTCTAAATCGGATAGAGAGTCCGAATCTGATTCCACTGAGTCTGTGGAGTTGGAGTCAGATTCTAGTTCCTCTGAGTCTGGTACTTCCGGGAATGGTAACCCGGATACCAAGGTCCTGTCTCGGTCGTCTTTTGACTTTTCTTTTGAGTCCCCTATAACCGTAGATCCAAGCTTTTTGAATGGGAATATTATGGATTGTACTTACTTCTTTGTGCCTGTGGTTTGTTGTACTGATCTTGATTTTAAAAATTTTGACTTAAATGAAGAGGAAGAAATTCCTCAGGCTTTTAAAAATTTGGTTGACCAAGAAGAGGAGAGGCGTGTTAAGCCTTGTACAAATGAAATCATTGAAATTAATGTGGGTACTAAGAAGGGTCCGCGCTTAGTCCAGATCAGATCCATGTTCTTTTCGGGGGAAAGCGAGCATTTAATCGCTTTGTTAAAAGATTTTAAAGATGTTTTCGCATGGTCCTACAAAGAGATGCTTGGAATTGAACTTGAGATTGCACAGCACCGGATCCCTCTTGACCCTGAGGCCCGACTAGTTACGCAGAAGTTGCGCAGAGTTCATCTAGATTGGGCTTTGAAGATCAAAGAGGAGGTGACCAAACAGATTGACGCAGGGTTCTTGATTGTATCTGAGTACTTGACATGGTTGGCCAATATTGTTCTAGTTTTGAAGAAGGATGGCAGAATTAGAGTTTGTGTTGACTTCAGGGATCTGAATAAGGCTAGTCCGAAGGATGACTTCGCTTTGCAACATATTGATGAGTTGGTAGACTTCACCTCGAGCCATGCATTGCTTTCATTTAGGAATGGGTTTTTCGGGTATAATAAAATTCTGATTGCACTAGAGGACAGGGAAAAAAATTGTTTTCACTACACCGTGGGATACCTACTGCAATTGAGTCATGCCTTTTGGGCTGAAAAATGCTGGGGCTACGTATCAAAAGGCTGCAACCATGATCCTACAAGACATGATCCACATAGAGGTTGAGGTGTATGTGGACGACATGATTGTTAAGTCCAAAGAGCGAAAAGGCCACTAAACCACACTGGAAAAGTTCTTTCAATAGATCAGGGAGTATAGACCGAGGTTGAACCCGCAGAAGTGCACCTTTGGGGTAACGACAGGAAAAATGTTGGGATTTTTGATCACCCAAAGGGGAATTGAAGTGGCTCCATCCAAAATCAAGGCCGTCCTATAAATGCACCACCAAGGACTGAAAAGGAAATACATGGCTTTCTGGACAAAGTGCAATTCATAAGACGGTTTATTTTAAAATTGACCTTGACTTGTGAACCACTGTTTATCTCCTGAAGAAAGGGAAGAAGTTTCAAGTGGATGATCGCTGTCAGTTTGCTTTTGAAAAGGTCAAGCGGTGCCTACAGAATCCACCTGTGTTATCACTGCTAGAATTGGGGAAGCCACTGATGTTGTACTTGTCAGTGACAAATTCGACCATGGGGTGTATGCTAGCTCAGAAGTTAGAATCCAAGGCGGAGAAGCCCATCTACTATTTGACCAAGAAGATGCTAGATTACAAGACCTACTACACTCCCCTCGGGAGAGCTTGCCTACCCGTGGTATGGGCTACTAGAAAGTTAAGGCACTACTTGTTAGCTTACTACATAATCTAAGTTTCGAGATTAGATCCCATCAAATATCTCTTTGAGAAACTAGTGCTTCCAAGTAGGCTAGCTTGTTGGTTACTTCTTCTCTCTGAATTTGACCTCAAATATGTTGCACACACGTCGGTTAAAGGAAGAGTGGTAGTGGAATTTTTGGCGGACCACCTAGTCGAAGGAGATGAGGCAGCGAAGTACTTGTTCCCAAATGAAAATATTCTACAAGTGGCAGAGGAAACATGGACGATGTACTTTGACGGAGCATCTAATCAATATGGTTACGGGATAGGTGTGCTGTTGATAGCACCCAATGATTCCCACATACCCTTAGCTTTCAAACTCCAGTTCAAAGTGTCCGACAATGAAGTAGAATATATGGGGTGTATTGCTGGTTTAGAAGCTACCCTAGAACTAGGGGCAACAAGGTTGGATGTTATTGGAGACTCGAATTTGGTTGTCTCTCAAGCAAACGGAGACTGGAAAGTCAAAGAAAAGAAAACAAAAGTTTACCATCAGGCCCTAGATATTCTGATTCCGAGGTTTAAAAAATTGATATTTATGCATCTACTAAGAGAGAACAATAGGTTCACTGATGCTTTAGCAACTGTATCTTCTATGGTAGACATTCTGCTTGGAGTCAAGATGCGTCCAATTATTATCGAACAGAAATATGTGCCGGCCTATGAGACCATTGTTGCAATAGATGAAGTACTAGACAAAAACCCCTGGTATTACGATATTTGGAACTTTTTGGAAAAGGAGATGTATCCACCATGGGCAAATGGCGAAGACAAATAGAGAACATGGTGTTTGGCCGTCCAATTTATTATCTGCAGAAACGAGCAATGCGAAAGAGGTCATTTGGGAATGCACAAGTTGTGTGTGGAGGAAGAGAAATCGAAGCGTCTCATGGAGGCTATCCACGGAGGGGAGTGTGGGGCACACATTAATGGTGTGATGCTAGCCCACAAGATCCTCAGACAAGGTTATTACTGGTCAACCATGGAGGAAGATTACATTAGTTTTGTACGGAAATGCCACAAATGCCAAATTCATGCCAATCGCATGAACATACCACCATCTAAGCTTTACAGTATGACTTTACCATGGCCTTTCTCAGTCTGGGGAATCGATGTTATCGGTGCAGTCTTGCCAAAGGGGTCAAATGGACACGAGTTCATCCTAGTGGCGATTGAATACTTCACGAAGTGGGTAGAAGCTCAGTCCTATGTCATGTTGAAAGCGTTGCATGTAGCTAAATTCATCAGAAATAACATCTGCCAGTATGGAGTTCCAAACGAGATTATATTAGATAACAGCTTACATTTCAAAAAAGAGGTGGTGGATCTGCTTGATAAATATAACGTGTCTTTTCACAAGTCATCGACATATAGACCACAGACCAATGGAGTTGTTGAGGCTGCTAACAAGAATGTTAAGAACATCATGCGGAAGATAGTTGAAACCAACAGGAATTGGCTGGATAAATTGTCGTTTGCTCTCTAGAGCTATAAAATGTCGAATTAAACATCCACAGGGGCAACCCCCTATTCTCTAGTGTACGGTATAGAAGCCGTTCTGCCAATTGAAATTGAAGTACAATTGCTGCGGATTATGGCCGAGTGTCAGATAGTGGAGGTGGACTGGCAACAGAGTAGATTTGAGGAGTTGATGCTGTTTGATGAGAGGAGGCTGAAGGCATTGTATCACATTCAGGGCTACCAAAGCCAAATTACTAGGGCTTTTAATAAGAAAGTTAAGTCCAGGAATCTCAAAGAAGGGGATATGGTACTGAAAGACAGCCGAGCTCCCATCCATGACCCTAGGGGCAAGTTCAGACATAATTGGACTGGTCCTTATATCATAAAGTCAATCTGTTTAGGAGGGTCGATTATTCTCATGGATTTAGACGGCTTGGAGTTTTCATAACCTATCAATATGGACAAGTTGAAGAAATATTATCCTTGATAGGCTCGCTAGGCCGAAAACCCGAAAGGTTGACCTAGGCAAAAATTAGAGCATGAAAAAATTAGAAACAAAGAAAAACTGAGCTCGTAAGGTTGAAAATCCAAAAGAGTGGCTTTGGCAAAAGTTAGAAAGCAAAAAAGAAAGAGTTAATACTTGAATGAACCATAACCGAACTACTAAGGCATAATTCCTATCTTTGCAATACGTAGGCAACTTCATCCTAAAGTTCGGCCACAACCAGCCCCAACTCAATTGTCCTTTTCATTTATTTGATCAGGCCATCTTTTTCTATTATTAGTTAGCTCAGTTGTGTGATCTTCGTTTTGGCAGAAGGGCCGGTATGGTGAATGCAGTTATGGGCAGTTGCTATCTGTTGATTCGAGGCTGTACCTCTTGAGGGCTGATTCCATACGTGTCAGGCAGTGATAATTCCCGGAAATGGCTTTGAAAAGTTTTAATAAAAGTTGATTTTTCTCAAAATTTTACCTTTACAACTTAGACTATTTTGGGAGCAAAAAGGAAAATTTTTAGTGCTCATAACTTTAATTTTATTGATTTCAACAAAGGTACATTCTCTAACTCTCTGAATTAAATCAAATTTTCTTTTACGACATAAAACTTGAAAAAAAAAGATCAAAGTAATAAACTAGGGGGCCTAGGTGAGTCAGGTGAGTCGGCGTCCTCTACTCGTACTTGCCGAAGTCTCCGAAGCCAAAGTTGGCCAAACCTATGTCTCATCTTTAAGATAAGCCAAGTGCTCGCCATAAAGGGCGTAACTGAAGCTAGGGGCAGGGGCCAGAAGTTCTCTCGTCCTCTAAGCAGTGAGGTACTGAGGCAAGTGTGAACCACAAACAGGAAATGTAGCCGGGTATTCCACCTCTTCTTCTGGACAAGTTTGATCTTGTCCAAATTGGCGTCTAAACCGAAAAGGAAAATAGAACACAGTGTATAAGGCTAACCCGACTGTCGCGACATGCTGTAGCTCATCTCCGTCAAGTTGAGCTAGGGGTAATGCCAAGATATGTCAGCGACATATCTGCTGTACATCCAATCACACCACTATCTCTCTGAAGGAAAGTCCACTAGCCTTTGGTGGAAAAACTAAGCTCTGGCTCAATACTCAGGACAAGGGTTCACCACTTTCAGCTTATTCATGAGCCATACCTGGGAAAGGATGAAACATTAAGAGAAAAGTAAGAAGAGGGGTTTTGAGATAAAAATAGAAAGTGAGTGCCGAGTGACATGAGGAACATAAATAAGAAAGGGTGAGAAACAATACCTGAAGAAGTAGTGGACTCCTTGCAAACCGAGTGGTCTCTCATCGATGAAAAGCATCTAAACCCATCAATGTCTCGGCCAGTGCCAAACCAATGTAGCTCTTGCCCTCTTCTAGGCATTGAGCCACCTCTATCAACCTAATGTTTGCTCCGCCACAACTAGGGCAAGAAGGAAGTGTGCAAGTAAGCATAAGCAGAGGGCATGTTGCTAATAACCTCGCCAAAGGAGGTCACCTTTGTCTCCAATGGCGGAAAACCAACAAATCAAACGTGGGATGTCTAACTCCCCATCATGAGCCAAGGATCGAGCCTCGTGCAAAGTAAGCCCACACATCCATCTCAAAGCCTGGGCATGGCCAAAACGGGGCAGAGGTATGATTTCTTTGTCGCATCGGGATTCCATCGATGCTTGAAATTCTTCGAGCGTTGGACACATTTCTTGTGATCAGAAGCGAAATACATGTGTAATTGGGTTCTAGCATCGAATAGCAGGATGGAGGAATGGAAAACAAAGCGACGTACAGCTCAAATGAAAAAGAGCATTTAGGTCGAAACCGCGAGAGTTCACCTTTTCCGAGCCGTCCAAAGTGGCTATCCAGTCTCGGAGCCTATTGTTAAGAAAAATCTCCATCTTGAGAGGAAAATATCAAAAGTTCGCTATTCTACCAGAAAAACAACTTAGGAGCACCTTTTATAGAGTTTGAGAAGAGGCAGTACGTGACGGCTGAACTGCACCCACTAACATCTTTTTTGGGCCCAGCCGTGCCTCAATGGAGCTCGACTATGTCTATTTAGACTCGACCAGGTCAAAATGTTGGCCTAGATCAGAGCAGTTACTGAAAAGCCTGACTTTTGCTTTGGTGTACTACGACCGTATTTTGAGGCTTGTTTTGTTTGTATCAATTGTTTTTTAGTATTTTCAAGTTGTTTTGATTTTGTTTTCCTGTTATTGCATTGTATTTTACATTTTTGTCCAGCTGTAGGTTGTTATCCGATTCAAGAATTAATTTAAGGGAAAAGTATTCACAATTTTAAAGTCTTGTATAAGTTACCATGCAACGGTTGCGCCATTCATCATATGTTATGCAGAGAAATCATCAAAAAAATTTCCTTCCATAAACTGGTGGGTCTCACCTCGATCATCATTTTACAAAATAGCAAAAAGAAAAGAAATTCTTCAAAAGTAAATCAAAAGGGTCTATCTAAAGCTAGTTCTTATCTATAAAGCAAAATAAATGAAAAGTAAAGAAAATCAGCAATCGATTCTTGCTCTCTTCCTCCTCGGTAGCGAAGGAGGTGCGTCGTTGTCATCGCTGGAATTGCTGGATTGGATGTCAACCTCATCCCTTTCATCATCGAGAGTCGTGTACTGATCAAAAGACTCCTCGGAAGGTTAGCGCTGTCTCACTTTGCCTCTCCCCCGGTCAGCCCATTCTCTGCCTCTCGCTGGGCCCCATTTCTGTCTCCTAGCTGGAGGAGGTCTTGCAGGCGCAACTGGTTCTGGCTCAAGCTAGAAGGAATGCAGGTATTAGAAACATATAATAAAATATGAATCAGATATCAGAATAGACTAACAGAATAGACAACAATAGTAGACCATGGCCAAAGTGTACCTCGATCCCATGGGTGACTAGAGCAGTCTATCAACTGTCTGGAGGAGATCATCCATGTACCCCGTAGGCACCTGTAAAAGAGGAAAGATATGAGAATATGAAACAATGTAATAGAGCACAGTGGGAAGAATGAAGTATAGTGGGTAGAAATAAAAGGAAGTGTGTACCTGCTCAATGCTTGGAGCAAGCACCAACCTACGGTTCCTCCCCTTAATGTGCTCAAGGGGGATCGGCTCGATCACCCCATTTGGTGACATGTATACAACCTTGGTAGGAATCACAGGAAGCCTAGGAATAGGAGCGGCGGTAGGAACATCTCCGACATCAGTAGCAGCAGCCTCAGGAAGGATACGGACACACCCTTGGCAAGAGGGGCCATCACCTAAGTCTATAAGAAGGCAATGAAGTCGTCGAGCTGATGGTACCGATCATCGTCGTCCCCCAACATCAAGAAATTAATCTGCGGCCCGTCGTGGACACAATCAACTACACTCATTCTTGGAGGAGGAGGAGGATGTGGAATGTCAGGATCAGCTATGCCTCGCATCTGACAGATGAACCTCTCTCCCAGGTAATATGCCCTGTCAAAGGGACCCTCGAACAAAATTTGTATGGTAGAGGCATGCCATGCAGCAACATGGGTTGTTCTCGCTGCCTAAGGAATGCCTGCCCAGGGGTGCCAATCAATCTACGAGTGGAAGACGCAAGTCAAGTGTCAGATATCAAGGGTTGAACAATATGGGAACAATGATAAAGAGCAATAAAAGAGAAAGACTAGAGATTTTGTTGCCCTATCTGCGGTGACGGTGTCGAAGAAGTAGCGGAAGTAAGGGAAGTCCCGGTCTATGTATCGACGTCACTCGAATCGAGAGTTGTAGTACCAGGAGCGAGCTACTGACAACTCAATTAGCCTCACTGGGACAAGAGCAAGGGAAGTAAAGTACATGTAAACCCATAGTTGTAGGAATAGGAAATGCAAGTGAATAAGTGAAGTAAATGAGCAGATATAAACAGGAAATAAATACAAAGAAAAACAGAAAAAGAAAGTGTAAGGTGTACCTTCCAAACTCTCCAGTAGCCGCCAAGCGAATCCGCCTTGAGGCGGGATACAAAGCTCATATAGCAGTACAGGGTGGCCAAGCCAGCAACACCCCAGTCATACTATACTCCCTATAGTAGATGCACGAGCGCACCCAGGAGTTATAGCCCCATGGTATTTTCCATGTTCGCAAACAGGGTAGTACTAAAAAGATACATGAGAAACCCGCAGGCGTACTGAGCAACCTCCTCCAACGTGATTGGCTGACGGCCGATGAAGTGATCCAAGAGCCAACTATATCGCACCATCCCGTAGCCGGTAGTGTTTTGGATTGCCCCGAGAAGCTAACGATGTGCAGCTCTGTACTATGTCATATCAGGATCGAACGAGATCAGGCCGCCAACCCCTTCCCGCAAGCCAGTGAGCATCGACAAATCGTATGGGGTCAGAATTAGCTCCCCGATCGATGAGAAGTGGAACGAGTCTGTGGTGTCCCTCCATCAGGGTCCCGTAGAGCAGTTGCTCAGCCCTCGTCTGTATGAGCCCTGAACAGAAAGGCCTGAAGTCGACAGCGTAGACCAATGTGAAGACCTCCGCAGGAAGCCTCTC